GGCACCATCAGCTTTCTTCACCACATTTGCTTATTCACCTGCTTTGTGTTCAGCGGTTGTGTCGGGAAGGTGAGCATCATAGAAAGCCCATTTCATAATCTTATACTCAAGTCTTATAACAATCTCCAAACAATCAAAACTGCTGGCTGTTCTGAGAGCCTTCCTCTGAGTCAGCAGCCTGGCATGCGCAGTGCTTTACTACTCTCTGAATGCTACCAAGGGTTTGTATGTGGCGATACTGGAGGATATTCATTCCCCACCAGTTCTTAAAACTCCCTAATGCGAGAATTAAGAGAGATCTCTCTATGCTATTTACAGAAGGAATAGTAATGCATTATTATTTTTTAATCTTGAAAGAAAAAAAAGACCTGAGCATGCATGAGATCATTTTTCCCCGTTTGTTTGCATGTGGAACATATTTACAGATATTAAAAAACAGATTAATTAATCAAGCAAACAAATCTTAACTAAAGGGGGGAGGGGGAGGGAGGGAGAAAATGAGCAAATGATATTGAGGGTTAAAGTAGAGGGCAAATGTTTTGAGATTGATGAGGGCAACAGGTGTACATATGTGCTTGACTCAATGGATGTATGTATGGACTGTGATAAGAATTGTACGAGCCCTCAATAAAATAATTTAAAAATAATGAGGGTAACAAATGTACAAATATGCTTTATACAACTGATGTATGTATGGATTTGATGAGTTGTATGAGCCCCCAATAAAATGACTTAAAAAAAGAAAGAAAGAAAGCAATGGACAAACTAAAAAAAAAAAATCTTAACTAAAAAAAAATTAAACAGGAAAATAAAGTTGGAACAACGGCAATGTGCTGGAAGATAAAGATATCATTAAAACTGTGATAAATATAGTTCTTTTCTGAAGAATTTATATCCATTGTTTCTCTTTTTAAAAAATTATTTTTTCATTAAAGAAAACTTCAAACACTTATTAAAGAAAAAAGAATAATGGACTCATCACCAGCTTCAACAATTATCATCAATCGATGGTCAATCTTATTTCATGTATACACCCCAGCCATCACCATTCCCCTCCCCTGAAAATTAAGGCCAGATTTGAAGTGATGACTGGTACTTAGCAAAATGTTCTGAAATGAAGAGAATAAGAACTTAATTTTGGTTACAGG